AAAGCTTGCAGTAGAAGAGAAACTACTAAACAAACAGTAAAATGAACACAGGAACTCTTTCACAGCACCACCTGGCCAATTGTTGCAAGGCTGAGAAACATCATAACCGATTGATCCACTGAGTTTCTGAAAGCCCTGTGGAGCCCAAATATGTGAATTGCTTTCTAATTAGGTTAACACTGGTCTTGTGGGCACACAAGATGTATGTAGGCCATGTGAATAATTGGTGGCTTTCCAATGTTTGCCTGTACTTTGCCAGAATTTCTCCCTTTTCAATATAAATTGGGTAATCCTAATCATGGCTAAAGCTTGTTTAAGCTTTATTCTCACCAGTTACAAGGCCGATGTTGCTTGCCCCTCCCACATAGCGTGGCTAGATCCAAATTCAAATACTAATATACTAAATGGTATCTCAAAAACAGCCTGCCACCATGAGAAGTCATTTATTAGTATAGTATGTATAGTATAGTCATAACACAGTCGTAACACAGCGCCAGTAAATATAATATATAGCTAAAACATTTTGCTGAGCAGTAGAACTGTACAGGTCACAAAGCTTCATGGGAGTGCCAGCGTCCATGCAACACGCTTTGTAATTGTGGGAAAACACTTGTAAAAGCTGTGTTTCGGTCTTTTTTTAGCATTTTGATCCTTGATATAATGTCATATATGTGTATATATATATATATATAATTGAATGAGGGGGTGACACAGCATATTATGTTGTGCAACCTGTAATGTGTATGACCTCCAATTCATTGGGAACCTACGTTTTGAACGCAAACAGCTGAGGGCGATGTGACCTCTTTCCTTCCCTATTAGTGGGGAGTGGGAGTGGATAGTAAACTCACATGACAGCGAGCATCAGATAAGCACAATATCTTGCAAAACAGCGTACAAATTTTAGTTGTAGCTCTTCAGTAGAATATTTATTTGATGCACATTTTTTTCTCAAAAAGGCTTTTCATAATGTCCTTAAAATTCTGGAATGTGTGGTGAAAAAAACTAAAAAATGTTACCTATTATACTTTCTCCCTAAGTTCAGTTAACTTGTTTCTGTAGTAACCAGCACGCAAGAAATTTGTTTTATTGCACATACCGTGCTGTTTGCAGGATACTTTCTTCTTCTGTAAGCTGTCCTTGCCTTTTTTAAATGGTGATGCAGCACATGACGACACAGCTCAGCGAGCAAAGGGTCTGTCCGTAGCCATGGTGATGGCAGCTTTCTCCTTCTGCTGGAGTGGGACAAGGGCATCCCGAAGTTTGCCCATGCACTGAAACTCTGTCCCTTAAATAGAAGTGACCTCCACAGCTGCAAGTGCAACTTCATATGGAGTGATGGTCCGTAGAGAAGTGAGAGTTGGCAGGGACTGGTTTGGAAAAGACTGTGTTGAATGTTTTCAGCGTTTTTGGGATGATGGGCTACAGCGGTAAAATGTCTACATTTTATTAATGTCACTGCATTCAAAGCCCTGTAGAAAAAAATGAAGTTATTCTCTGTAATGAAAACTCCATAGCAGCAGAGTGAGGAGAGTGAAAATCTCCTTCGGACTGAGAAACTTTCTCTCAGCCAGCAACGATCTAACCTTCACAGCGGTGAATGAAAATCTCCTTCAGACTAGGAGCACTCAAATTTCTTCTTCCCTTTTTGTCTTAGTGCACTTATTAAGTGATGTGCTCAAACTGCGGATGGTGGCATACCGATTAAGTTTTGTAATCAAATTTGGTCGCTGCATGCTTGCGGTACACACCTGAAACAAAACAGATACCACTACATGTAAGAAACGTGCCAACCAATCAAAGTGCCACATGACAGAACTGAAAAAGTATTAGAGGGCTGAAAGTTTTGTTTCTTTGTCTCTTGAGACACAGAGATGCGTTAGCAATGATGCATTTACTCTTCCAAAAAGAGACTTTTTGATTCTGTCAGCTCATTGCAGAACACAACCTGATTCTCTTTCTTTGTCTGATTTGATTGTGCTTGGATGTTTAAGTGTGTGAGCGAGATTGTTTAGCTGTTGAACTTTCACATAAAGTAAAAATAAAATTTCTAATTCTGTATAAAGCAATTTGCATGATTACCAGAAGAATATCACAGTAAAGAAAATCACCGCTGGATAAAGTGCTGTTGTTGCTAATGACTTTAATACTAGAAATGTACTAGACAGGTATCAATGAATTTATACAGGTTGGATGCTGAAAACATAAGGGTTAGACAAGAGTTTGGCATCTATGAGATATGTACTTGAAGAATATCAGATATCTGCATTGGTCCACAATTCCAGACAGTTTTCCACATGCCCAGACAGTTTTCACTGTTGCTGAATATGTAATGTAACACTCAGATTTGGCACCATAGAAACAGTTAAATATCTTGTACTATATTTCCTCAGACTTTAAGCTACTATTGTCAGAGATGTTGGTGTAATGCTGGTGGCAGTAGCACATAAAATTGAATTGGGATAACTGCCTGTCATCACTTGAAGAATGTACTGAATGGCTAGGAAGATGCTCTTGAAAGTGCCTGACTCCTCTACAGAGGCTTGTTGAGAACACTGCCTTTCAGTGAAAAACTGAAAAACTTCAGGTGAAAAACACAAGTTCAGCTGTGAAAAGATCCATGTGCTTAAATCTGAAAAGAATGCTTCAAGGTTCTACTTCTGTCACTTGCTGTACATAAAACAGTGTAAAGAGAATGAAGACTTCCTACAGATATTTTTTTTTCATTAAAAGGTTAGACCCTGGTGCTTTCACTCAGACAATACAAACCCTCATCTCCTCTCGCTCCCTCTTTTACTTTACTTTTACTGTCTCTCTCTCCACCTGAAACTCCCCTCCATGTCATCTGTGACACACTCCTTCTCATTACATAGACAGCTTTTACAGCCAGAAATATCTGCCTTTTTATTTGCCCAGCCATAGCCTAAACGTTTGTGTTGGCTGCCAGACGTGACCAAGAGGCTCGTGGTGGGCCCTGGGTGCAGTTTTTCTTGCTGCTCTATTGTAAAAAACCTCCCAAGCAGTTTTATAGTCTCATTAACAATACAGTACACAATCAATGCAGTGGATTTTTCATTTCATGCCTCTTGTTTATTTGTTTGCCTGATTATTCGAGAGCACTGACTAGTTTGCATTTGTTTGGATGTATATCATTTGTCCTTTCCTGTCAATAGATACGGTTTGTTTTGAAATATGGAGTGAGAAGGGCAGAAATGTGGACTGGGCCAAAACAAGATTGAATGGTCATAGATAAATAAAACAACTGCAGATAAATCACTTGATAATTTCAAGACTCTTTACACAAGACCCACTTAATTACATCACAGCTTTGTAAGGTAAACAGAACTTGGAATTAGAGCTGTTAAACTAAGGCTGAGTGACAAATATTATGCTGTGAAGTCCTCTCAAGAATGAAACAATCATCAATAGTGATTAATAATTGTTAATAAATAGCTTTAGCGTTATTTCCATGAAAATATATGTATGGAAATAAATGCTATTTTCTCATAACAGTTGCCCTGTTAGCCCCCTATTCTAGTCAAAGACAGCAAAGATTGTTGACAATGACAGTGTAACCGAAATGCTGGGATTTTCCCCGCCTGATAAGGCTCCAGTTTTTGGCTACATCGTAATTTACCCATGGTGACATATTTTGGACCAAACTAATCAGAAAACCTTTCAGCAAGATCAGTGGGCTCTATTATGTTGGGGGCAGATAGCAGGTCACTTTAGATTTGCAGCTATTCAGCCATCTCTGTTCGGAAATAGCCGCTACTGTATGCTGCTCCGGAAATGCCGACTCTTCTGTGTCAGGGACTGAATGATCTGCTATTTATGAAGCTGCGAGAAGCGTGATTCTCGGGCTGTGTGTGGTTTTACAGTAATGTTCAAGACAAGCGACCCATTGTTGGTGAACTTAAACCTCTATTGTGTTGCCATGGGACTTGTGGCATTTTGTTCATTTACCATGCTAAATGAAGGCCATGTCTAAATGCAGCCGTCACTGCATCCGCTGAAGCATGCCAGCCTGCAGTTATTAATGCACCCCTATTCCTCATTAAAATTTGTTGTCTGTGGAGGATCCAAAAATAGCTTTCATATGTATGAAGTGTTGAAAAGTGCTCTCATATCACTTTGTTGTGTAAGAAGATTGTACAAATGAAAAATGAAATATGCCATGCCAGGGAGTTTTTGCTAAGCTACTTTTGATGTTTGTCCATAGTATGATACTAATTAATTAAAGCCTCTGTAGGCTAAGCTTGTTTTTTGTCCTCGCTAATAACAAGAATAAGCTGACCGAGTGTTCTTCCTCTGCATTACCTGTATTCACCCCACACAGTTCAGTAAAATGCCTTGTTTGTTAATCCCTTAATTCGTGCCACATTTTTAGACCTATTGTATCATCTCTGCTCTGAAAGTGGCTCTTTTGAAGCTGCATCGATGCCAGAAAGAGATGCGAAGATTTCCCTAAACTAACTCTGTCTCACTGGTTGGCTATGATGGATGCTGTGTCATGTCAGTGAGCTCTGATTCTAGAACATTCTGCTTGATAGCAAGCATGCAGGATTGTAACGGTCAATAAAGTTGCTCTCCCCATCTGCCTCTAGCTTCGATGCTAATGAATTCTTTTTTATTTCCTGCAGGATATAGACCCGAGGCTGCACCCAGGCGTGATTTATCTGAGGACGTCCCGCCACAAATGGCCACCGCTCCCTCACTCCGCCCCGTAGCCAGGATGGAGAGCTGCGCTGTCGATAGGATGCAACCTGATGAATAGCGCGTCTTGCAGGGTGAAGATGTTGCCTGGCCATGTGTAGCAAATCAATGAGGGAATACTTGCCATGCAAAGAGCTGTTGAGCGTTTTGACACCCCTGTGTTCTGAAGGTCCAGCCACTTGGCTTCAATCACAGCCATCCCGCAAGTGGATATTATAAACTAGTGCTGCTGCTGCTGGGTGTTGGTGGGGGGTGGGGGGGTTTAGTGCACCGCTAGGTGGTGCGGTGGAAAAGGAACCATGCTCCTGCAGCGGCCTAGCAGGTTCCGCGGTGGCTGGAGAGCCGTGCAGCCGCGACCCGGCCTCAGTGCCGTCTTTGACCTGCCGTCCCTGCTTTGGCTGCTGGGCCTGGCTCTGCAGGCCTTACCGGCCGCCTCGCAGAAGCTGGACGAGACGGACCCAGTGGTCACCACGACCTATGGCAAGCTAAGGGGCTTCAAAAAAGAACTCAACAATGAGATCCTAGGACCCGTCATCCAGTTTCTGGGCGTGCCCTACGCGGCACCCCCTATCGGGGAGAGGCGCTTCCAGCCCCCTGAGCCACCTGTGTCTTGGCCGGACATCCGGAACGCCACTCAGTTCGGCCCGGTCTGCCCACAGACCATTTTAGAGGGCAGATTGCCGGACGTCATGCTTCCAGTATGGTTCACCAACAGCTTGGAGGTGGTGTCGTCCTATGTACAGGACCAGAGTGAGGACTGCCTTTTCTTAAACATCTACGTGCCCACTGAGGATGGTGAGTTTTGTGGACCGACGGATCGGCCCTGTCTCATCACCTCTCTGTATCGGTATCTCCTCTGTGCTGAGTGTAGCGAGTGGACCTAGAAAAGCATGACCTCTGCATGTCAGCGTGCATGCCACTGCTTTTATGTGTGTGTCTGAGTGGGAGGGAGCTGGAGCGCATATGTGTGTGTAAGCGTGGTTAAGAGCGTGTGTGTGTGTGTGTGAGTGTGGCTGTACATGTCTCCTAACCTCCCTTGCCATCCCCTGCACAAGCACATATTTATGTGCCATAGCACGTCCATTTTAGGTGAAGCTGGATCCTACTTGACTACCTCCTTTGCACTTATATCTCTGCCAGCAGTTCATAATGTGTCCATTGTGTGTGCTGGCACAATGAAATAGGATCTTAGAGGGAGAAGCTCATTTATAGTGATAATGATGATGATAATGAAAATGAAGATGATGATGCTAATGACGATGAATTTGAAGACAGTGAGAGCAGCTCTTCATGTTAACCTCTTTCCCTCCTCGTCTCAGTCACTCAGTGCTGTTGCATGCTCCTGCTGTGTGTAACGGAGCTCCATGTTATTTTTTAGTCTTCTATTCATTTTGCAGTCAAAAGAATATCCAAGGAATGTGCCAGGAAACCCGGCAAGAAAATATGTAGAAAAGGAGGTATGTATGCACTGACATGAAAACAAAAAAAAGAAAGGCAGCGATCTCCCCCTCATTAGCACCAACCCACATAGAAAAGCTTTGGGTATGAAAAAAGCATGCTATTACTAATGTTGTTAACACTTTACCGAAGGGAAGCATTAGTAAGACTACAAGACACCTACATAAACCTAAATGTTCTTTTGTAAAGGCTTATTCAGACATTCGTCATAAAGCAGCTTTTGTCCACTTGACATTTGTAATTAGCCTATATAAATGACTCTGTATACCATTCTACAGAATTTGTTTAAACTGCAGTCCTACAGTTAAAAAAGATTTTTAAAAATAATTACGTATTCAGACCTTTACTACAGGTACTATACATTACTTGATATAGTAACAAGCCAAGAATAGACAAAACCATCATTTCATTTATAGAGTACTTTCTGTTGGGACCCCTTAACCCCAAATTTCAACTTGTGAAAATAGTACTTAATTTTTTTTGGCTATATATTTTTTTTAATATATCTTTTTGATTTCTTGTAAAATGAAGTTGAAAGATTTAGATTTAACATTTAGATGAGTTTTTAAATTAAAAACATTAAAAAATGCTGTCCCACATTTTCATATCACTACCAAACCACAAACATGAGTTTTAGTCCATAGGCAAAGCCTTATTTTAGCCACACTCCTGCAGAGTGAGACCAGAAAGTGAGTCTGCATCCCTGTCCCTCATGGCCCCGTGGTGAGCAGTTAGATCCTATTGTTTTAAAGTAAATGTGTCCCAAATTCTGAAAATCAGTTTGTGACTCTAGGAATTGTCACTACCGAAACACAATTTTTCCACGTATGTAAACTTTTTTTTTGTTTTAATGGAAATGTTCAGGTGTGTACAGCTGTTATCTGTGTACAGCTGTTAAAACTTGTCTTTGCTAGCCATGTACTGGGTAGTGTATTTTCTCAAAATAAGCTAAAACTGTCACTACAGAAACATTAATTACTCAGACATTAAGTAAAGTTTTGGTAGTGTTATGATTGTTTTGGTAGTGACAAAAAAGCAGTGTTCAATCATTTATTTTAATAAGATGAACATAATAAGGTACAGGGTTATTCGAATCAGTAGGATTTTATTCTGAAATCCAAGTCAGTTATAAATCCAAAATGTGTTTTGAACCAATTCTTAGGTTTATGTCATGTGTCATAAAAGGCTTATGAAGGTGTCATGTAGCCTTATGAACACTGCCCTTCAGTGAAGCGTTAATTTATTATTAATCTTAAGCGTCCTCTCCCAAAGTGCAGGCCTCGGCTCTCTGATTTGCTGCCTGGTCGCAAGTCAGAGAAAAATGGGGCCCACAATTGATTACATCTATGAGGAGTTAACTGGGGAGACCATGCCGCCTGTTAGATGAGCGCACGTTGAACTTGCAGAATCTAATCTCAATTAAAAGAGTTGCTATCTGGAGTCCATTGGCTTACACTAGCAGAATCGATCATGCCTTCATCAAGATAATTTCCCGGCCTGACATACTTTCCATTTCGCCATGTTCCTTCTCATGCCACGGTCCTGCTCTGAAGGTCCAGTGACCGTGGTCTTTATATAGAGTGTACAGTTCATATAATGTAGCCATTTGTGATTCCAGTGGGAAAAGAACACTGAAGTGTTCCCTGTTTTACCTTATCCTGCCCTTCCATGGCCAAAAAAAAGAATTAGGGAAAAAAACAAACAAAACAGAATCAGGACAGTGACGGCAGATGGAGCGGAGATGGCTTTGGTCCAGCTTCCTGTTCTGTCTGTTTTCTCTTAACCTCAGCCCACCCCCAAACCCCTCCAACCATTGAGGTTAGCACTTCACTCCCCCTTCTCTTTTGACCTTTTCTTCCTCTGACTCATCTAAATCACACTAATCAAATATTCCCTCCCTCAATACTCACCACAGCCATTATCATACAGACCTTTCAGAATCTGTTCACTTTCGCTACTAAACACCTTGTGTTTGTCACAGACCCCTGTTCAATGTTTACAGCGTTACAGAAGAAGGAAAATTCACCTGTGCTCCACGAAAGACTTAACATGTCATTTTTTAAAAGAATTAGAGTGACTTTCACCTAATGGTCAAAAAGATGATTTGGTGTAAAAAAGTGTAGGCCAATGGGGAGACTGATAGCATCATCTTGATTGTGTACAGAATGTTTATACTACAATGTGAAAAATGTGTGGACATGTTTTATATACTAATGTGCTTAAGTTGTTCCTAACCAAAGCTCTACAGTGTTTCAGTGCTTATGCTACCTGTCTGTCTGCTTTATTTCAGCTATAGGAAAAATATTCATGAAACACTACAACACTGTTATACATGTGTATAAAACAGCTGAACATCCTTTTGCCTTTTATAGTGCTTCTTCCATGTCAGATGAGCCTGATTTTAGGTCCGAAATCTGATACACTGTGGGTGATCATTGTGCTTTGACAGTGCTTGTGTGCGTGACTATGCTTGTGATGTGTTTATTTTGATGGTAGGTTTAGACCGTGGTTGAAAATCAGATTGAATATATTCACTCTAACAGATACTGAGAAATACGGTATCACAAAGGATTTCTTCATGTAGCATTTGTGTGAATGAGATTAGTAGTAATTTGAGGCCAATTCAAAAATAATTTGAGATGTTAAATCTTGCCCTTAGGCATTAGATGAAGCTCACTTAGCAGTCAGGAGTTTTCAAACACAGAAGTATAGCTATGAATGGTGTTTGTTAAACATTTAAAATAGGGTAATGAATTTGTGGAGCTGAATCATTTGGTGAATTGTTTTCTGTGGTATTACTGAGACTTTTTCTTTTCAGTCAGTAAGGTTGATGCTTTGGTCAGTTTGGATTATTGGATTCTTATGTTAATCAAAATATAATGCTATCATGTTGTTAATGCTTAGCCCTTTACAAAATAGCCAAGACAAAGTGCCCATTTCTGCCATTTACAGCCCTATTCGATCTGGATTAGTTTTGCCAGAAGAGGTCTGGTAATGTAATTTGTAAGGAATTTGATTGGTCGATTTGTATGGGAAAGAATATCTAATAACCCCAATCGAAACGTCATAGCCCTGGTGTTCACTTAAGCGTTAAGATTAGAATTAAACTTCCAGTTAATACCAGATAGAATTGCATTAGGCTAAAGTAGGCTGATTCAACTTAACAAATGTCACCCAATAGGACAGAAAGTGCTCTGCCTTGTGAGAGGTATTTCAGATATTTTCTTTTAATTCTCCTTCTAATTAGCTTATCACCAAAATAGTTTTAGATTACAGCAGTCCTGTTTTGAACCTAAGGGTACAGGAAATGTGCCGAGAGCTCCATTTTAGCAGTTAGCCAGATGTGCCAATGTCTATTACTAGGATTTGTTATTTTACGTTACCTGAGGCCGTTTTGAACAGGACTATTGTTACTGAAGAGGCTCCGCATTTGACGAATTGGAAGATAATTCAGTCTGGAATTGACCTGTAAAAACTACAGACTTTGCAGATTTATACTGGATAAAAATCAGAGATCTTATTGATAGAAACTCAAATTACAGTACCTCCTCAGGTAAGCGTGGTACAGCTTAGAATAGAGCTTAATTTAACCTTTCTCATTAATATTGTGATGTCTCAATGCCGTTATTGCATTTATTTGATCTGAAAAGAATGTGATCCAACAAAGTCTGCTTCCTTTATTTTGTTTTGTCACCTTGAATAGGAATATGTTTTACATCAGTCACCTTTTATTGTTAATCTAGTTGTACAAATCAGTAATAAGGTCTTACTGACCTGAATTCGGTTGTGAATAAGCACACATGCTTGCACAGGAAATATTGCAACAATAAAGGCAGCCTGGTCCTTTGTTTATACAGTAGTAGAAAACATGGTAGCACACATAAAGCTCCAGTTCTACATGCTGATACATTATACCATGTCTGGTGTGGTCTCATGCATGCCGTTACTACTCTTCTCTGCCAGATTAAATGAGTTCAAGAAGACAGTGTTGGAAGGTATTGCTGGCTTTAATTGGGTTACAGCGGCTCCTAGGATATGCAGACATGATGCATAGGTGTGAATATTTTTTCTTATCTTATTAGCTACAGTTAGTTTGGAAGGCATAAGCATTGACTACTCCAAAAGAAGTAATAGAGCAGGTTGTACTGCCTTGAATGAATGAATTACCTGTATTCATTTCTGACATATTCTACAGTTTGGCAATATCATATGTACTGAAGGACTCTCAGTAGATTTTGTACTACCCTATGTAGAGTAAAAGCGCTCCCTCTTGTTTTTGTTCTCTACTTCTGTCTCTCTGTCTCTCTCTCTCTCTCTTTATTGCTTGCTTTGCTCAACCATTCTCCGTCCCAGTTTTGTAATGTTTGACAGGCATCCTAGGGGAGGTACTAGAGTTGTGATGCATGCTGTAAACTGAGGAGTGGATCCTTACAGCCCCCATATCTATCTTACTCTGTCTCTCACACTCGCACTCTGTCTTAAAGGGATGCTCCTGTGCTTTTTTAAGCTAACATCTGTTGCTTCAGCACCTGCCCATGAGCTTCAATGGATTTTCTGTTTTCTTTTCAGGAAAATATGTTAAAATTACTGCCCATGGTAATCGACAGTATGCTACAGATGGGAATGATAGAGATTAGGCTGAAAAACACTAAAGTATTCCTTTAACTGTGGAGATGTCAGCCCTTACTCCACCTGTGTATACTGTCATAGGCAAACATTTGGGTGCCTTTTCTAAGTGAAAATAAGTATTATTGATGCACTGAGCCGTTTTTTTTTCTCTTGAAATACCTGATTTTGTACCTGCTGATACTGATACTTACTCTAGCAAACCTTAATTAGCCTATAAAGCCTAGTATTTACATAGTTACGTGTGTGTACTTAAAATTCTGGCATTATAGATATACAATGCTGCTTTATGGTATCAGTATTCTGTCTTGCTGATACCAATACTGCGTTTAAGTGTTCATATCGGCATCAGTACCAGTACGGTACAACTCTA